CCTGAACATGGATGTCTGTTCTCTATCTGGCCACCTAAACATGGATGTCAGTTCTCTGTCTGGCCACCTGAACATGGATGTCAGTTCTCTGTCTGGCCACCTAAACATGGATGTCTGTTCTCTGTCTGGCCACCTGAATTGGATGTCTGTTCTCTGTCGGGCCACCTAAACATGGATGTCAGTTCTCTGTCTGGCCACCTAAACATGGATGTCAGTTCTGTCTGGCCACCTGAACATGGATGTCTGTTCTCTGTCTGGCCACCTAAACATGCATGTCAGTTCTCTGTCTGGACTCCAAAACATAGATGTCAGTTCTCTGTCTGGCCACCTAAACATGCATGTCAGTTCTCTGTCTGGACTCCGAAACATGGATGTCAGTTCTCTGTCTGGACTCCGAAACATGGATGTCAGTTCTCAAATACAAGTTGAAAATGGGTAAGAGGAGAGCAAGAGATGGAATTTTCAGATGAATTATTTACCCACTGATTAGCTTTATGTAGGGCAAGCTGTCAGGAGAATGTCTGAGAACATGAATAATGAATGTCTAGTGCTGTTTTAGTGCAGCATGTGTTGCCAGCCTTACCTGTAGTATGTTGGGGCAGCAGGCACAGTTGACCGACTAGCCCTTGGCCTCGTTTTACATGGTGATCGTAGCACTACAAGCACAAGTCTTGTGCTTTAACATCCACTTGTGACAGTCATGGGACTGTGAATGCCTTGTGAAACAGGACCTTAGTAACTAAGGCACCACAACTAGCTGTGCATTCCTTTGGGAATGCAGGTTAGATTAGATCCCCAGCAACCTATGCTGGTTGTAAGAATCTACTAAATGGATTGTGTGGTCAGGATCCGTGTCCTCGTAATCCAATGGTGTTGATCATTGATCCAGTATCTATCATTGGATTGTCAGGTCCAGGCTCCATTATTTACAGCCCACCGTCATATACCTGGAATATTGCCGAGTGTGGCGCTCAACAAATAACAAACTAACAAACAAAATCCTTATCGCCAACTACGAATAGCTTAAATATTTGTTATGGGGTAATTTTTTAAAAATTTTACAGAATGTCAGGGAACAGATCAAAGTTTCAATTTCAGCAAATGAAGCTTCATTTCCTTTAAGGAAATGAAGCAGATTATATATTTTATCACTTTCACTAAACACATGAGTACGTACAGTGTGATTACACAGTGAGAATCATAATCAGGGCAATTCTTGGATTTGAACTCACAACAAGCAGTTCCTGGTACTCAGCCCTAACTGACTTGTGAGGCCTTAGACCACTGAGCTACCCATGCCCTGAGAACTAATGAGGGATAAGAACAGGTGCTATAGGGCTTAAATGAGGCCCTTGAAAGGCCGTTAAAACTGGTAATGGAGACATTATTTGTGGAAGTAGGGTCACATTTACCTGCTCCATTTGTCAGTACCAGCGAACATGAGATGATGAGAATTTCTGCTGAAACTGACCAACGATGGCTGTACCCATTAACGTGCCAAGTAGGAAACATACAAGGAGGCTGGAGACTGTTAAAGCAGCCATTGTGGCTAATGACTTGTTTCTGTTTTTCATGCAAGTCTAGAATACAAAAAAAATGTGTGCAATTTTAAAGAGAATGTAAGAAGCTAAAACTGTCTTTAGAATTACAGGGCTCTCATTTTGGAGTCTGCCCAGAGGGACTTTCTTTCTGACATGAATACACAGTGGAGTTGCTCAGGTCTTTGTTTCAGTAGGCCATAATAGTGATACCTGCATAAAACATTTATTAAGAATGAATTTTTGGACTAGAACAATTTTTTTCCCCCTAAAACTCTTTCAGTACTAATCTTTGTGAAACCTTCTTAAGGTAAGTTTTACTGAACCTGAAAAAAAATATAGTTACGTACAAAGATTCGTTCTATGAAAGCTTAGCTCCAACGTTGATAACTTCCATACTTTAAAACTGATTCAATAAAGTTGTAGTGCCAGGATGTCTGTGTGGAACGGGTCCTGATTTTTTTATGTCCAAAAGTTTGCTTTTACTAATGATATGTTAACCTTTACATTCTTGCTTTTGGGTTACTGGATTTTATAAAATGAGTTTGTAAATTACAGGGCCTTGTGCTGTGAAGTGATCTGACATCCAGTGATGATAACTTCCATATGTTAACACTGTAGTAGTTTGTTCATTTGTAGTGTCAGATCTCTGTGTGGAACAGGGCCTGTCTTTTATATGTGCAAACACCTCCTTTTACTATAAGTAAACTATTTATTATTTATTCATGTTTAGTTTTAAATCCTACCTTTCGTTTTATCCGGATAACTTTATTATTCTGTACTTTGGTTTGTGAATTACCTCACTGGCAACAGGATATGCTGATGGAAGCAGATTAGAAAACACACTGAATGAGTGCAGAATAAAATGCACTGCTGTGTCCATTGGGGCACAGGTGGCCCAGTTAGTTAGCTGTGCAGAATTGCATCCCTTTAGGTGATCTAGGATCCTATGTCTGTGGGTTCAAATCCCGGATTCATCCTTAATGGGACTCTTGGTTTGTAATTTTTACATGGGTTTCACCAAAGAAGTTAACACCTCCGAACAAGACCTGCATCAGAGTGCTGTTACACGAATGAACTGGGGTCACGTACAGTAGGCACAGTCGTTTAAGGCACCGCGATTCGCTGTGCAGAGTTGCGTCCCTTGGGCACGCCAGAAACCTTTGATTGTGGGTTCGAATCCCGGTTCGCCACGATTATGTTTCTAGGTTTGTCAGTACCATACCCGTGCTCATGGGTTTCACCGAAGTGGTAAACGTCAGAGACCTGCATCTCTTCGGGCTTTCCTCCCACATTAAGCTGTCACGCCGCGATATAAGTGGAATACTGTTAAAAGCAGCGTCAAACCCAACTCACTCACTAACTCACAAATGAACTCCGAAGAGCGGAAGGTCCGGGGTTCGATCCCCGGCCGCGTCATACCAAAAGACATTAAAAGATGGTACTTTTTGTTTCCCTGTCTGGCGCTTGACATTAAGGGACTAAAACAATGACTGGTCGGCTCGGAGTCAGTATACTTTGTCTGAGTGGGGTATTCATGTTATACTGCGGCATGGTATCTCAGTGAGCTAGCACTATAAATCGGCATCAGTCCGGACTAGTACAAGCAGCACACACACACACATGTGCATCCACAGCGCTATATAAGTGCAATAATCTTGGACGCGACGTTAAACCCAATTTCACCTCACCTCACAAATGAACTCATTGCCAAACAGTCCCCGGCTTTCTATGGAGTTGTATATGAAACGTTCTGCCTAGAATGCTTATCTTTACTGCCACTCCATTCTTACAGTCCGTCAGTATGTGAAGGTTCGAGCGTGGCAACCCAGTGTCCATCTCATTAAAATCAGATCTTAGTTCTCGCTACAGCTAAACAAAGATCTGAGGACATCCCATTAAGGGTCACGTCAGAATGACCTTTCATCTAACCAATCAGAGCGTCGCTTACCAGATCATGAAAATGACTGTCGGAATGTGTTTTCTAATCATGCAACCATGAAATATTTAACACGGGGTATTCCGAACGACAATTACAGGTTTTATGATTATATCCATACAATCTAGGCCATCTATAAACCATTCCAGAATGTTCTTCTTATCAGTTCTAATTTTTTTAATCGAGAATACGTCAAAATATGTTTCGAAGCGTAGTCGCCAGTTTGAAACTAGTGTCGTAAAGCTTGAGAAAGCTGCCTTCTGATTTGCTAATGTCAATTTCTTGTCAGTCATTTCATTGGTCGGTCAAAATTTGCCAAAGGTCGTTCTGACGTGACCTGTAATTGGATGTCCTCAGATCTTTGTTAGCGGAAGCGAAAAATAAGATCTGATTTTAATGAGATTGCCCAGTGTCTAACCATTGAAATAGTAAGTTGAGTCCAAGGTGAAGAGTGACGAGGGTCTAACCTTTTTAAGGCATGGCTGATAGCAAAGAACCTTAGAACTAAACTGTTTAAAACAACCATGTTTTGGGGCCTGATATGAGAAAACATAACCCTTATTAAAAAAGTGAAATACAACCTTCTACTTGATAATTTCTTTCAATGAAAAACTACCAAATCACATGTACATTCAATATAGAATAGCATACTGAATAATACACAAATTAGGTCGTTGAAAGGCATTTAGAAGTGATACACATAAGAAAGAGAATATATTGGTGTCAACGTCTTTATTATGAGGAACACAACATTTTGGAGTATATGCTTACTTCTTCATCAGGTGTATGGTAAGCATATACTCTGAAACATTGTGTTCCTCATAATAAAGAAGTTGACATCCATATATTCTCTTCCTTAATACACAAATTGACTTGATATTTATTAATATTTGGTTGATACTTCAACAGAATTTCTTTTTATTCCACAAAGTGATCTTAGCACTACAACTGCCGTAAGTTTATGTTTAAGTATTGGAGTTACGATCGTCTTATCGCTAATATCGTTTCGTGGAACAGGGGCCAGGCAGAAGCCTCTGGTCTGGACTTGGTGGGTTTGAATCCTGCTGACATTATGTGTTTTTTCAAGCTGTTCTATCATCAAGGTGAAAATATGTTCTGTCATGTAGATGTGGGGTTTGTCAAACTGTTAAGTTAGTTGATGGAAATGAGCTGTGACTTGCTGTATTCGATGTAATAAGTGCTCAGGGTGCTCTCAAAATTAGGAATAGGGGCCTCTTATTAGAATATTATATTGATGAAAGAAAACAGAGTTGAAAGATAAATTTCGTGGTTTATGCTGACAGCCTGAGATGTTTATATACGACAGATATACTTTTCTAGAATTTAATTGCCCATAATTAAGGGTGCATTTAACACATGAGTGCATATTATGGGCGAATAAGGGGTGCTAATTGGGATTGTTCACTAGCCAATATATTAGCAAATATCGCCATGGGCGCTTATTAGAGCGGGGCACTTATTACGTCGAATACGGTATATATGATAATTATGTTTCATTACAGAGCTACACTCCAGACCCCTTCAAGCTACGGGAGTTTGTGAGCACCCCTCCACCCGGCAATGAGAGACTGTTCTGTACCATGATTCGCCATGGCGATGAGACATCAGGCGGCCATTACACGCTCTACTTGGAGTACCTGGGAGGCCTTGTGCCATTACTGAAGGGCAAAAGGGCCAGCAAACTGCGACCAGACTTTGTCATCTTTGACCCTAAGATTAAGACCACAGGAAAAGGTAAGCATCATAAAATTTTAAGCGGGCAGGCACCCCTTTCTGAAATGATACCAAAGGACTGTGACTCATCATTAATATAGGGATGCAATGAAGTGACTATCCGAGGTAGGGGAGACAACAAACTTTTGGATGATACTTCACAAAATATAATTATTTCAAATTTTCCCCCAATTGGTCAAAAGAGCTCATGTGTGTTTCCAGACTGTTTGATCTTGTGATTGTGTGATGTCATCAATGTTGTCTTTCAATTCTTTCAAGAAATAGACACTTGATGACCTCCTTCACATAATTGTCCTGATGCTCTGCACACTGAATTATTAGAAGTTTCAGGGTTAGAAACTAACAGATTTTGTCTACTAGTCCTTATGATGATAACATATATAGCAAAACCCTTAAAACAGGCCAATTTCTACTAGTCCTTAGGATACCTTTACTATTGGGCATTTTGGTAAGGTCTACAGGACTAGTGCCAATTTCTAACGCTGAGTTTACTAGTTTACAGTTGTACGCTAAAGGTGGTCCCAATGGAACATGATGTGTCCCAATGGTACGAGATGGGTCCCAATGGTATGAGATGAGTCCCAATGGTACAAAATGGGTCCATATGGTACAGGATGGGTACCAATAGTACAAAATGGGTCCATATGGTACGAGATTGGTCCCAATATTACAAGATTGGTCCCAATGGTACAAGATGGGTTCCAATGGTACGAGATGTGTCCCAATGGTACAAGATGGGTCCCAATGGTACAAGATGTGTCCCAAAGGTACAAGATGGGTCCCAATAGTACAAGATGGGTCCCAAAGGTACAAGATGGGTCCATATGGTACGAGATGGGTCCCAATGGTACAAGATAGGTCCCAATAGTACAAGATGTGTCCCAATAGTTCAAGATGGGTCCCAATGGTACGAGATGGGTCCCAATGGTACGAGATGGGTCCCAATGGTACGAGATGGGTCCAAATGGTACAAGATGGGTCCCAAAGGTATGAGATGGGTCCCAATGGTACAAGATCGGTTCTAATGGTATGAGATGGGTCAAAATGGTACAAGATGGGTCCCAAAGGTACGAGATTGGTCCCAATGGTACAAGATGGGTCCCAATGGTACAAGATGGGTTCCAAAGGTACAAGATGGGTCCCAATGGTACGAGATGGGTCCCAATGGTACAAGATGGGTCCCAAAGGTATGAGATGGGTCACAATGGTATGAGATGGGTCACAATGGTACAACATTAACAACCATTATTTACTTGTTTTAATAATTACTTGCTAATCCCTGCTACCCTCAGGTTTCTCAACCCAGTCATTACTGAAGAGTTTTATCAAGCTTTAAGTACCGAAAAATAATGATAAAATATTCAGAATAAAGTGAAACAAAATGTCAAATATATACTTGCATGGTTTTCACCCTATAAGCTACAAAAGTTGACTTGAACGGCATGTAGCATATAGTCAGTATGTGATGAAATCATACTGTACACTCATACAGATACTATAGCACACAAATCTTCCAGACATATGCCCTTTATATTTAGCTGGGAAAGTTTAGATGTTGCTTTAATGTTAAAAAGAAATATGACTATGGTTAGTTTACTTCATTGAAAGCTCTGATCATATGTCGATCAATGAGTTTTTTTATTGTCATATTAACTAAAGAAGGCCCGAGGCCTGATACCAAATCACAGAAGGAATATGATGTTTTGTTGTTTAATATTCATTCATGCAGAAGTAATAATAGATTTAATTTCAGAAATGTGATATTTTGCTTGTGTTTTGACAATATAATCCAGCCTTTGTTAGAAATTGAATCGTTTACCTTCTTTGCAACATCAGTTGTTACTGATTTCGGCCAACACAAGTATTTTGCTATGAAATACGATTGTTCGTTTGAGTATTGAAGAATATTACTAGTTGTCCTCAGGGCATGATAGACAGTGTAACATTAAAACCGAAATCTGAAAGCAATGGGATTTGACACTGATTGATCAGATTATTCTCTCAAAACATGAATAAACAAAAACTCCACTGAACAAATTGCTCCAAATTGATATTTGATACAGGAAGTTAGTTTCGAAAGAGTTTGATTTGACAAGAAATCTCAGCAACACTGTCGGCTTGTGTAGACGGAGCTGTGTGTCTATGTGCTCTTGTCTTCTTGTGTAGAAGTTGAGGTCATTGATGTCACTCTTGTGATCAGCCTGAATTATATGTTCCTGGTAATTCAGTTTCCTGTCTGAGTATTCTGCATGAGGTGATGCCAGGGCTTCACATGCAAGATTCCTTCATATTTGAGGGGATTTTCATCCCAAATACTCCTTGTCATATTTTAGATAAGTCAAATTTGCACAATACTCAGTACTCATCCGAGGGAGAAACTATTTTTTTATGCTATGAAGTGTTTCAATCAACAAAATTTCTGTGGTCTAATGTTTTGTTAATAATATCTTGTAGATTAAATGTTACACCGATGCTTGACTCTCATGACTATAAAAAAAGTAAGAAGAAAAAAAGCACATTGAGTAATGATGACGCCCCGTGTTCATTGTGTTGGTGAGACCAGGCATGCAATACGGACACACCATCATAACTACATGAGATCTCTTACATCTCATTCTAAGATGCTTCGCAAAGAGATCAAAGGCGCCTCCTAGACTTGTCCTGCGATCAAGTAAACTTTTGAGTTACGTCATACTGGGGTAACATCATGGTGCTGTTCAAATTACCTCCCCCTGAAGATCAGCGATCAAAGGCTGCAAGCATCCTCATGCTCTAACTAAAACAGTTCAGGGCACTTTTTTAAGACTAGGCCTTATTACACGATACATGTGGGTAGAGCAAACTTTGTTTCTTATATGGTGTTACAGTGTGCGACATCAGATGTATAATCCATTATTGTTAATTTGAGCTAGTCTATGAAAAATATAATCAAAACTATTCCTGTTACTCTGAATATATTTTTTATAAATTCACTGAATATTAGGGATGGGTATTGGATGTTTAAGGTGTATCACAATATTTTGCAATGCACAAGGCTGTATTTAGCATGATATATTGAGTAATTCCTAATTTTTAATCCAGAAGCACTCTGATACATTATGATATGAACTGAAGTTCATAAATGGAACAAAACAAGATGCTGGTACAACATGATGTTTTACTCAGTCAATAAATACGCAGCCATCTGGATGAATACTCAGGGCAGCGAAGGCATTTGGCAAGATAATACCATTAAACACATGATAAAAATCCCAATTTGATAATCACCCAATATATTGAGCATGAAAAAATGATATTGTGATACGTATCGTGGAAAGAATGAACTTGAATTTACAAATATACCGGTAATACCTCACACACTTACTGAATATAAAAGATAATGTTGTCACATATTACCTGTAGCCTACAACAAAGCATTACAAATACTGTCAGTTGATCTTCATGGGTAGACTATCAAGTGAATTTCCAGTAACCCATTGTCTATGGTAGAAAATGTTCATATACCTTGAACTGGTGTAGAGGTTTAGAAATCTTTGAGTTAGGCGGAAAAATACAGTGCAAACAATGATTTATTTTCAAACCCTAACAGTCAGTCAATTTTTAAAATTACATATTTAAAAAATGCAGTGAGTTAATTCCTTTGGATACCTTGCCTCTATTATATCATTACCATAGTCCTTCATTTTGTCTGTACTCAGACTATAAAATCTGACCGCCTCCGTGGTCTAGTGGTAGAGTGTCCGCACGGAGAGCGGAAGGTACGGGGTTCGATCCCCGGCTGCGTCACACCACAAGACGTTAAAAGATGGTACTTGTTGTTAATGTGTCTGGAATACTATTGAAAGCGGCATGAAACTCATCTCGCTCGCTCACTCGCTCGCTCACTCACTCACTCACTCACTCACTCACTCACTCACTCACTCACTCACTCACTCACTCACTCACTCACGCACGCACGCACGCACGCACGCACGCACGCACGCACTCACTCACTCACTCACTCACTCACTCACTCACTCACAGATTAAAGTATTCTGGTATTCCTTAACTTCTTTTGAGTAGTATTTATCCATCTGAGTGGAGGGGCTACATGACTGTTTTATTCAATACATACACCATTTACTTCTACAGTTCTAAAACAGCAGGCATCCGCACAGCATCCTCACAGCATGTGTTTATAGTGAAATACAATATGGACATAGGTTCTTTGAGGCAGCCATTGAATCTAATGCAAACATAATTCTCTGGCATTTTCAGAGCCTACAGATCTTAATGGAGCATGTCACCTATAAATATCTAGTGCAGCATTATTGGGAATGTAAGAAAAAAAGACAGTTGTTATGGAATCAGTGGAACAGAAGAATGATACTTGTCGGCATGCCTTGTCCAATTCAAATTATTCCATGGAGAATGATTTTCAGTTTTGCCGATTGATTTTCTTCTTGAAAGAGTTGACCATATCATTAAACTGCAATTTGGAAGTGGAATTTTATTTCCTTTTTGGTCCATTTAGGAAATTATGTTTTAGATGCCAGCAGGTAGTAGGGCTAAGAGTGTGCCATGGACCATCAGATAAAATTTCAGTTTCAATTAAGTGCATTGCAATCAATAAGATGGTGTGCCATCGGTAAGATAGTAGGGTTAGATCGCACCCAATGGATGATAAAAGGTTATGTTGTTATTCTCGATCCTGCAAATGTTGTTTACCGGGTATATTTTTTAATATTAGATGGCTGATTGTTATTTCCTTGTAAGAAAATAGATTTTGATGAAAACGAGTCGTTGCATGCACAGAAACATTACAGAAAGTGATTATCAGATGAATGTCAATGTTGAGGAAGGATGTCTTTACAGACATCTTGGCGCCCTATATCTCCCTACAGTGGTGGACTAAGCACAGTTACCTTGAAGTACCATAAATCCTTGATCAGAGGCAGAGAAATGAATACATCAGGTCTCCAATAGAAGCTTTGTAAGATGTTTTAGTGAAAGTAATAAGG